TGCTATTCTATTTAAAATGTATTTTTTTTAATAATGTTCCCTTGTATGGATTATATTCATATATATATATATATATATTTTTTTTTTTTTTGGGGGGGGGGGTGTTTAAAAAACAACCACTTCTTTAACATACCGTTTCCATGGCAATGGCTGAATTTTGTTCCTTGAAATGATTCAAATTTTAATCATAATCAAACAGACATCTGAAGTTATTAGAAGCTTACTATTTGCTTCATGTTGTTGAAAATCATCGGTCTTGAGCATGTTCATTAGGTCTGAATGATACATAAAGCTGTGTGTCATCTGCATAGCAGTGGCATGATATCTCGGGGAAATTCGTTTGAACATCATCGAAATGAGATTAGCAGTGTACAGAGTTAAATATCAAAGGACCCATCCGAGAACCTTGTGGACCTCCAAAAGGCACTGGGAAATCATCAGAGATCACATCATCTATTTTGATCTTTTGATATCTATTCGCCAAGTAGGCGTACGAATCTTTCCATTGAAACAGATCTTTAAAGTTTCTAATAAGCCAGAATGATCTATGGTGTCGAATGCACTACTTAGATCTAATAAAAATAAAAGAGTGACTTTCTGGGAATCCATAATCATCAATAGATCACTCTTTATTCTTAGCAGTGCAGTTTCAGTACTATGGAAATGTCTATATGCAGACTGAGTACATGGCAAAAGTGAGTTGCTATTGAGGTGATCGATAATTTGCCGGGTAAAAGCACCCTCAACCAACTTCGATATCTATTTCAGATTGCTTATGTAGGTCTTAAAATCTGCGTCAAGACCAGGTTTTGTCAATAATGGTGTGATGAGGGCATTTTTCCATTGCATTGGAAAATGACCAGTCGAGAGAGAAAGATTAATCAATGATGTGAACACAGGAATTAATAGGTCGATACATTGTAGAAGAAGTTTCGTGGGCATGGGATCTAATGAGCATGACATTTCACTGAGGGTTAAGTATAAGTTTTCAACTTGGTGCTCAGAAAGATATTTGTAATTGCTCAAAACATCGACATTATGGTAAGTTGCTAATAGAGAATAAGTCCTGGGTTCATTCATTGCATCTAATCTTGTTTCAATATTCTAGTGGATTTTTACGACTTTGTCACAAAAATAATAATAATAGCAATCAAAATATACTATTTTTCACATAATTGCCGAATCAAGTTCTGTTTTAAAGCACACCAGATACTTTTATGTGGTTATCAGATTCTGAACAGATTCAACGCTATCACTGCACGTGTCTTTGTATGATAGCGCATAAGCCGTGAAATTTGCCCATGAACATCTTTAACCAAAACACAACGGTTGCACAAAGCAATCAAAATAAGTATCATACCATATTTCTGTTCGTATTCATTACATGTCAAGTATCATACCATATTTCTGTTCGTATTCATTACATGTCAATAATATATTGAATAATTTACGTTCTTGCGAATCTTGCACAGCATGTTATAAATCACCCGGTTTATAACATTTTTTTTTTAATGGTGGTGGGGGGAGGGGGGAGGGTACATGTATTTTGAAGATAAACCAAACTTTATGGTTATATTTGATTGTATTTGAGTTACTTGCGTACTTGATGGATATTTAACTTAATCATTTTGTACACAAATTACAGCGTTTGTAAATATATATTTAAGATAATCCAAACTTAAAGGATATTATTTCAAAGCAATTTGATTTGATTTGAGTTGTCTGACAAACAAAATGCTCTTACCCCCACCACCATATACAATCTACCTATTAACATGCTTTAGATAAAGTGCTGTGACCCCCCCCCCCCCCCCCCCCCCCAAAGAGCTACGTGCCTGAGCTGAACATCGGCGTTCTTGATATATCACCCTCTTCCCGGCGGCATCCTCGTCTAGGGTTAATACACCAGTTTACAGTTGTATCAGTGCGCATGCGCAGACAGTTGACCTCGGGTCATTGGCCCCGGAAGCGGGGCCAATAACCTTTGACCAGTGGTATTTATGCGTAAATTAAGATTGCGCCCATGCAAATGATGATTTGCGCGCACAACGCAGCGCGTAGGCAGTGATATCATCATAATCAGAGGAATATAATAGAGGAATGCAACCTGCCAATTCGTAAGTTCTCTCATCTCAAAGTCCCCCTTGTTTGGTCCCGACCTGGCAATTCCCTCTGCCTCGGGAATTTGTGTCAAACCCACAAGTTCGTTCATTTCTCCCGAATAGGTGTCCCGTGATTGGAAAAGCCCTCCGCAGCCATCTTTATTAAGATGGTGACCGTCTCGCTGAGGCGTGTATTCCCGTCTGGCGCAAGGCAAGGTATTCAGGCAAATGAATGAGATGTGACATGAAAGCATCATCGCGAACAGAAAAGCAAAAAATTGTTCGGGTCCAAAAAGAAATTCGGAAGCTACTTCACGCCAAGAGATATAGCTATACGACAATGATGAATTTCCGACTACAGTTTCGTTCATGAATGTAAAATTAGCGACGCATATTTC